CCAGAATTCATGGCTGGCTGGGGAATTCTGGGAGCTGAAGTCCACACATCTTAGAGTTGCCGAGGTTGAGAAACACTGCTCTAGAGTATTAGCAGATAACACTGGTATGGTATCTGTGTTCAGGCTACATACAACCTCTGCATAAAGCAATAAACCAATGCTAAAAAATGATGACAGGTGAAATTAGCAACAGTTTGATGCTTAAATAATGGTTAGCCGCACCTAAAACATTCTAAGACAATATGTCCTTATCTTGGAGATATTTAACTGATTTTACATCTTTCTTAGGTTCTATTTATGAGAACTTAAAATGGGGGTGTTTGGTGGGAGAGTGAAAAAAAATCAACATATCACAACTGTATAATCAAAGCTCCACCCTTTTTTATGAGCACCCAACATAAAAATGGACTAGGGCTTTGATTGCATGGTCATAGTTGACATCTTGACTTTTCTGCCCCCAGCCCCAGCCCTAATTAAAGAGTCTAGACTTCTGTGATCAAATCTGACCTCCTACTGCAACCAAACACTGCCTACTTGTCAATTTAAGCACAAAGGTATTTATTATTCATTTAACTTTACAGTAAAATAGAAGGATGGCATCGGAAACGGTGATTCTTAATTAAAGGGCAAAAGGATAGAATTAGATGATTTAACCAAACTTTTCATAGAAGAAAAATTGGGGGAGGGGGAATAAAAAAAATAAAAATCAATCAGAAAAACTACCCCGTTCGTGAAAGAAGTCATGTTGCATCAGAAAATAAAATCAATCATACCTTAAGGTATTTTGGGCATGGATTTTAGGGAAAGGAAAGGAGGAAAATGGGGGGGGGGACACTACATGTTTAATTATAGAACCCACAAAATAAGAATTACATGCAAAGATCACAATGAGCGGTGTTAACAACAACGTAATTTTGAAAAGAGAAAGCAAAATGCTACAAAATTAACTGTCGGGGAAACAGCTATAATAGAGAAAAATAATGACAGGTGAAATTAGCAACAGTTTGATGCTTAAATAATGGTTAGCTGCACCTAAATTACCACCAGTCCAACTAGTTAAAAGCAACCTCTTAAAATTTTCCAAATACATAGCTGTGTGGCATTAAGATTAAAGAAAGAAAGAAAACATTTACTGCGCCTTGATCAACAGCAGAGATACGAGTAACAACCTTGGATGATCAGAAGGAATTTGGTAGCACCTTTTCCGATTAACAAATTTTATTACAAGACGTAACCTTTATGTGAGCTAACAGACTCCTCAATTTTTTCCCACCCTCAACTAATATGGCTCTCCTCTTAGAAACTACTATGAGTAATTCAGGGTAACCTTCTCCTGGGCGTTGTCCAAGCATGTTGGGGTAGAAACTCCCAGAGTTTCTAATCATCATGGCCAATACTAGTTGAAATTTCTGGGAGGTGTATTTCCAACAGACTTGAAGGACACCAGATTGGAGATACCTCTTGTAGTATAAGGGCTGTTCCTTCAATGTCCTTTTAATGCCAAAGAGAACTTTGGGGCAAAACAATTGGGCTATTATAGAAATTGAAACTTGCAGGCAAAAAGGATGTTTCTTTCTTCCCAGATCTTGGCTTCTAACACTGCTGAAATCAAAGAGTTAACCTCAGGTAGACAAGTGAGACATTGACATGTATTAAGCCCAGAGCAAGAATCAAGTTCAGCTTTGTTTACCGAAATAATGCAAAATACTTCTGTGGAGCCACAAACCAGAAACACTGACTGTTAGCACTTGTCATAAAATGAAAGCATGGTAACACACAACAAAAAGAGAATTGTGCACTTTGCTTTGACAAGCTTTGCTATGTGGTCTCAGCTGCCAACTTTGCACCCAGCTTGAAGAACTTAAAGTGAACTGCCTAAAGATTTGGCTGTAGTCTATGGTAACATAAACCATGTCTCAAACCAACAAACCATCTCTGAATTCTTCCCTCCTCTACATTTTGACCAGGATCCTATCTCCACTCTGCCACATCTCCCTTAAGAAAGCTGCTAAGGAGCAGGAATCAGTAAAGCAATCACTTAACACCCAGATTGCACCCGTGCCCGGCACCCAAGTTTTAAAATTGTATAACTTATACTGTACTAACTAGTTGACACAGTTTTTTTAAAAAGCATTCTGGTAAACTGCTGTTTTGTCATTGATTATGTCCCCATGCCAGCTGTTTGGGGAGAATGTTTACAACCTGTTTTCAAAATTTCAGATGTCTCCACTGGCCTCCAAAGGGTTGGCCATCCTTGATGTAGGAAGTGAGTAGCCATATGAGAAACACAATTTCAATATTTCAATATAACTGCGCAGCTCAATTTCATCTTCTCATCTGCATTGCCACCTTTCATTCTCCTGCAACACCTGTCTTGAAGCTAATTTTTCACCTTGTTTTGAATATAGAATAGAATTAGTCAATCACAGTAATGATAACTAGCAGAGAAAATGACTTGTAGATGGATTAAGATGCTTCTGAAGCATTAGAATGGAGGATCTTGTTTTAAAATAGATAGAATCAGGACAAAAAAGCCACTGTATAATTGTGATATATTTGCTCATATAAAATTTGCATTTAGGTGCTTACCTCGGAATTTTTTGGGCGGATTACAAAGATCACCTGCCTCTGGTTGTACCACACATCTGTCATCCACCAGCCTAGAGGAAAAATCATAATGTCCAGTGTTTACAATAATTTTTGCATTTATTGACCAAGATAAAGTCTCCAAAGATATTACTTTGGTTCTTTGATTTAGCATAATCATAAAACAAACACTACCCAAATTATAAGTTCTCTTCTGAAAAACACACTCATGTCCAGTTTTGTCCAGAAATTGTATACCAAATAATTTTTATCCTTCACTGTGGAATATGTTTTGCAGAATACTTGAAAAAAAATAGCTCCATTCTTTAGGTGGACTTCAAAGAGACAGTGTGATATTGTGAAGGACACCCTACAGATACTACTTCTACAAGATGGCTCCTTGTTCTGCCAGCCAGACAAAGAGACTGTCAAGTATCAATGTTTTTTCAACATGCCGGCTTTCTTAGAAGGCATATAAATAGTCCAATTACAAATCAACTGAAATGGTGTGCGCTTCTGGATATGCTTTAGCTAATCCCAGTACTTTTTGCTATTGGTTTTAGTTTTGTTCAACTATATTTCATTTTTTCCCCGCTGAATGTGGATTCACCGAAAACTGCTTTTAACAGAATTTAGCAAGCATTTGTTCCATATCATCATCATCATCTTCATCATTTGCCTAGTACTTCAGCCCTGCTCTACCCTAAGACAAAGTCAATAGTGAATTGCCTAGTCAATCCTCTTGAGTTGATTTATGACTTTAAGTTTTTAAAACTGGATTTTGAAATTGGATTTTAACTAGAAATGGGAAAAGGGAATGAATGAATGAATGAATGAATGAATGAATGAATGAATGAATGAATGAATTTGCTTTCTTCATTTCAGATTCCTTTTGAGTGTCTTTCCCTCTAAAACTCAGCTAACCTAAAGTATTTGTTTTGTCTGCATAATTTCATTGTAACTTTGTATACTCCTTTGTATACTCTGTATACTCTTAATGTTTCCTTTGAGAAAAAATAATTCTAGATACGGTAACCATTTTGTGCCTTGTCACTTGCATATTTTCCATACCCACAGTTTTGTACACATTCTAATTCTGTTTGTCTGTCAATTGATGTTGTTTGTTTGCCAACTCATAACACTAAATGATGCCCCATGTTGCAAACACTGATAGTTCCCTGATAGGGTAGGCTTTGAAAATGGTTCAAAAGAAGGTTGTTCTATGTGAGCCTGAAAAAAATGATGTTGCTGCTTTAAAAAGCTGGCAGTTATTGTCAGGTTCACATAGAAGCCTTAAAAAATCAGTGTAATTTAATGAGTAGCAGAGAGGTGGTGTGCTTACATGTGATCCAAAATACTGTTTCTGAATAATTTTTTAAGCATATCTAGCCCAATTCTCCTAACTAATGCCAATTTTGAAATAATTCTGTTCTACTTTGATCTTGAATACTATAGCTTCTTTTATTAATAAGAGGATTAGATTCCCACACGTGTGCATTAGACACCCAAATAAGGGAAACCATCAGTGTTCAAGCATGATATTAGGGAAGTGTGATCTGATATTTCTGTGACCCATACCATGGAGTTTATTGTGGCTTGGCCTAAAATGTTCATAAATTATGATACGTTGTTTAATATTGTTGTTCAGTTCTCTTCATTGTTCTGATTGTTGATTGAATAAATCAATTTCCATGTATGGCATAATCAATCTGAAAGTGAGTTTTGGAAAAAGAAAATCTTCTCCCACTAAAGTTTGATGAGCCGTAATTTTGTTACAGGTTTCTGTTATTCTCTTTAAAGTTTCTGTTCATTTGTTTCATGTCTTTATATTTTAACATTGCCTGTTTGGCCTAGCACATTGCATAAATCAATTCAGTTATAAAGCAGGGCTTCCTACAATGTGTAAACCCATTATCTATTATTACTAAATACATATTTAAAAGCCCAGATCATAGGAACTCGGTGACTGCATTTCATTCCTTTGATCTAATGTTCTGTTTTATTTTTCTTATCCTCCATATTTACTTTTTCTCCTTTCCCCTTGTGCATTATTCTTCCAAAACATTATACATATCCATTACCTGGGACTGGCCTCCTCAAAGATCACTTGAAAAGTCCTGCCAATGCAAAATTAAGCAACCAAAACAATTTTCTAGTATACATTGCACAACTTTTCTCACCTGCCTTGTTTTTCTATTTGTTCCTGGTTGCCATTGAAAACGCTAGATGGAACCAGCAAAGTCCTTGTGGTCAGTTCCACTGACTGCACCTTATGCAACACCTCTCTACATTCAGCCTCTGAGAACCTGCTTCACATTTCACCACCATGACAAGCATGCTGGGTGAAGACACAAAACCCACCTTTCTCAGTGTTGAAAGCCAAAATGTGGAAATTCAGATCCTACAAGACCATCGGTCTTCTTTGCATTTGTTGGAAGCAACTGCTCTTGTATTCCAAAGGTTTTAACTTCTGAACTGGTTTTACCTTCTTGCTGCAGTGAATTAACCTAGTTCCTTTATGTTCAAAGAGTCCTACAACTGCACTACAGGCCCTGGTTTTGGGGGGAGGCTAGAAATGAAGTGGAGTACTATTAAATGCTGCATAAGCTGTAGCAGCTGTATGAGCTTTATATGACAGAAGCAAGGTGAAAGAGACTTTTCTGGACCATTCCAGTTTCTTAACATGTATTTATTTCTCTGTGACTGATATAAGTAGGATACAATGGATGAATACAATAGATGCTTTCAAGAGATATTATTGAGATTGACTATGAAGATTGCCTCTGGGGAGAAGGCCTGTTGATGGAGCCTCACAAAAAAAGTTAAAATCCCTCCTATTTATTCCTGTTTGTCTCCAGTCATTTATTTCATTTTTGTTTTGCTGCATGAACCCCTTGTACATTTTCCATTTTCCTGCAAATTGTAAATTGCCCAAATCTTGCTATAAATATTTTAGACCTTTCTTGTTACCCAAAAAACCTAGGAGCTAATTTATTGTTACAATAAAAACAATGTAGGATTGTTCTTAAAAATACAAAAGGAGACTATAGTTTTTAAATGAACAGCAATATTGCTTAGTCTTTACACTAGGCCTGCATGACACACTTAGCCGTAATTCACTCAACTAAACCAATTTTTTCGATTTGCATGATTGATTAAACCATAAAGGAACTGTACCACAATTGAGGTTAAAATTTGGTTGGTTAAAATTTAGTTAGTTAGTTTGGGGTTCCATCTGTTGTGCAAATACAACTAATAGGTTCTTATACTCTTAGAGATTCCCTTTCTCACCCACCCTTTCCAACAGAAATAGTCATAGCTAAAGACACAAAAGACCTCCAAGCATTTCACAGGATATTTTTCTTATATAAATAGAAATTGTATTTCATTCATTCATTCATTCATTCAATTTATATAGCTGCCCATCTCAAATATATGACTCTGGGCAGCACCCAGCAATTAAAAACACAACCCCAAACAATGAGCAAAACACAATACAAAAACACATAAAATCAAATAAAAAGCATATCAAAAACTCTACTTCGCAATCTTCTTTTCTTGGAGAAAAGAGATAACCTCATGATCAGAAGAGTACTGAAGCTTTCTGATAGTTAGTAATATGGGATCCATTCACTACTGAAAGCACAATTTCAACCAACAATTATGGCTTATGGATGTCATTAGTGCCTTCTTTACACTGTGCAGTGTTTCAGGCCTGTCCTGCAAATAAATATATATGTGCAGTATTTGATGCATTTTTTAAAAATCATTGGTCTTGTAAACCAATTCACTGAACTGAACTTATGTAGATATAATAGCACACTAGGCAGTGCAGCGCTATCAAGCAGGGAGGTCCAGTTGGGAGGTCCGAAAAAATCAAAATGGCAGCCACGTGATCAAAGCCACCATTATTACTTTTCTGCCAAGTGGCCTTCAAATGGACACAAATAATAAATGAAGATTCTGTGAACTGAAATAATTGAGGAGCAAGATGCATACGGCTTCAACTTTAATTGGAAAAGCAAACAAGCAGCCCCCTTCCACTAGATCTTCATTCCTTAGGCCTTGAAATCTCATCTATAAGCAGCTGGCAAATAGAACAAGCTAGTTGTCATTCAGGCAAAATCCTAATGTGAATGTTCTCACTGTTTCCTAAGAAATTAGTATCCAGTACAAGCCTTGCAAAGGGTGCTAGCATGCAAAAAGAGGAAGAAAAACACACACACACACAAAAACCGGCTAGAAAGCAACGCGCTCAGAAAGCTTTGTATTTTACTCAATTTCTTACAAGGTTTCCTTTCATTGTGTATGGAGAAACTCCACATTTCCTCTCTACTCCATTCACCATTGAAACTTCGCAGAGGGACTGCCAGATCTATGGATTTACTGCAGCTAACAGGAAGTGATAACTAGAAAATTCATTCCCAGCAAAGGAGATTTGCTTGAGTTTGTATCGAGATGCAGCTGAATGTTTTATTCTGTTTGCCATCCTAATTCAGTAGGGCACACGCAGGAAGGGAAAATCAGAGCGCGGAGCTGCCGAGAATCCAACATTGCATGCAATCAACAGGATAAGCAACTAACAGGCTTGCAAATCTGTCTACATTTAGAACAGCTCCTTGAACCCACCACCGTTATATTTTTATCCTGTTCTATTTTTACTTTTTTTTTTTTAATGTACTTCTATCTGTAATTCTGGTCATAATAAAAATTCTCTTCTCTTGTCTTCTCTTGTCTTGTCTTCTCTTCTCCTTGGCAAAAAAAAAAGGGGGCACTTGCAGAAAAAATCCTGGCATTTACCAGGCCCATAGATGTACTTTCCACATATTCTTGCTACTCAAATGTAACAAACAGAAGTTTAAAATAGTGTCCAGGTTTACACATCCTGCTAAGCCATGGTGTGTTGAACATTGTGGCCTAGTTCTCACATGCAAAGAAGCCATGTGTTTCAATGCCACAAACCAAGTCATTCCAGGAACTGATTTGGGTTCACACATTGCCCATGTCCTAATATGGTTTGTTTGGTTTTAACTTAATATGAGGTCTGAATGCATGCCTGCTAGGTTCAAAACTA